ATTTCTTTCCACCTGTAAAACAAGTCTAGACAGTGTCTAGATTCTTCCTAGCCCTAAAGCTTGTAAAACATCTCTTTGAATATCTCAGAAAGGTATGGAAGGTGTTTTTCCTTATTTAGGGTTGAGAAGTTTGGCTGCATAAATTCTATATGGGGATAGATTCCTTTCTTCCAAGGGCTCAAGGATCTTTATTTCTCCCTTTCTGGAGCATGATCTGACATTTACCAGCTAGACCCCCTTACCAGAAGCGTATGCATGTGGTGTGAACATTCCTTTGACATTTAAATACCAACATGCCAGTAAAATTCAGCTCTGGCTCAGGTTTAACTAAATAATGACTCTTACCACAGAGGCCATAGATGGTCTCTCTACTTGAACACACATTCAAAGTCAGGGACAAATTGTCTTTGTTCACAGGCAGAGTTTGCAGTAGAAATGAGAGCAAATGAATATCACTTAAAGAAATGGTTTATGGGGAGCCCCTGGCGTCCTGGAAGACAGATTGTCAGATACCTGAAGGAAGGACAGGAAGTAAGGGAGGACATGGGTGTGTGGCCTCAGGAAATGCTGTTCTCAGTGGCAGAGTCAGAGGGAACATTGATGCTTCATCACCAGAACAGTAAAAGAAGATCAGTGTGTACACAAGCAGGTGTCTGTGAAGAGCCAGACACTGAATTCAGGTGTCATTGGATTCCCACCATACTCCATGTTAGACCGGATGGAGGGGCATCTATCCAAGATGGAGCTGGGAAAAGTATCTGAAGACCAGAACCAAGAAGATGACCAAGACAGAGAAGGTTGTTACTACCTCTTCAAAGACCTCTTTTGATAGTTTTGATTTAAAATACTTAAAAATCTTTATTGTTGCTGTGTTTGTGTACATATGTGTATATATGATCAGGGTGCACTTGAGGTACAGCGTGCCTGTGGGGGTCAGAAGACAGCATTGCAGAACCAGTTCTCTGGGTTTGGGGGATCAGCCTCAGGTCACGCTTGTGTGGTAAGTGTTTTTACCCTCAGAGTGATCTTCTGGTTCTGAATTTTACTGGTTTTCAGCCTTGGTCAGATTGGGGTTTTCATGGATAATATGAGAAAATCTTGATGTCTGTGTTTGAAGCAGCCACATACATGGGGTGCAGGGTAATAGGGTGCAAAGAGATAAGTTTTAAGAAAAATATCACTGAGTTGTTTTAAACATTGCTTAAGAATCACTTTTAAGTATTCATTTGCATAAATCCCAGCACAAAACTAGTAGAAATTCATGTGATCTTTGAAAAGACTGCATGTCATGGCAAACTGTTTCTGACTCTGGGAGAAGATTGACGTTCAACTCGGTGGGATCTGGAAAGTTCCAGGGGTGAGGCAGGAGGCTAGCATGACTTGTTTCTGCCGTCCCTTGCAGCTTTGGGTTGTACAAAAGCAGGGGCGGCCAGAGGTTGTTAGAGGATGCTTCTGCCCCACTTGTGTCATCGTCTAATTCCTCAGCTCGGCAGTTCTGGGTCATAGGCCACTTCCATGGCGCTACAGAAACACAGGGCCCCATGTGCGGATCCTGACGAATGAGAGCGGGTGTTTGAGCGTGAGAAGGAAGCTCACGGAAAAGGAAGCAGACAACTGTCTTCAGAAGCGGATGAAAAGCCAACAGTTGGTCTGGCTCTTTTATGACCGTGAGGGGAAACCCCGTCGCTAGTCATGAAGGACCTAAAATAAATCAACATGACATCTAACTGCGGGCAGAAAGCTGGGGACTGGTTTATAATATCGTCATTTCAGACCAATGAATTGATTATGGTTTAGTTTAAGGTTTGATCCAGTTTTCAGCAAACTTAAAATGTTTGGTATTTCTCTTTCTTGTCTAACTCACATTCAGTGTGAGACAAATATACCTCATTTCTTAAAGAGTTCGGGGAAGTTGTCTAAGTTTCTAATGCTGGGAACAACTATGACAGAGAACTATTATTGGTGCTTATTATATTGTGTTTTATACAGAAAGGATAACTTCCATTTCTGGACAACTTAAACATAAACTGTTTAATTTAGAAAAATGACTAAGTGATGTTTCTATCTTCCTGGATACAACAGGGCTTCCGGTTTGCACGACACCAGCGGTCGCCTTACATATCCTAATCTCTGTGCCTGGCGTCCGTACAGTTATACCCACGCTGTACTCTGTGCTGTCCTCGGCAGTCCTGAGCCACCGGTGAGGTCCTCAACCAAATGCAAATGCCAGAAGGAAGAGACTGTGATGAGCGCAGGAAAGAGGCTCAAGCATAAAGAGGGACAATGGAAGTCTTGGTTCCGCGTTGAGTAAATCGTCACCATGTTTGTGTTCAGGCTGTGTTCCTTTGGACCGGCATTCACTCAACTCCCAGGTTTTGGATACCGGTGCTTACCCTAGGTATACGTCCTCGCCATTAAGGCACTGATGACATTCAAGGTTTCAAAGGAGATCTGAAGTCTGTATGTGGCAGTGTCATGGTATCAGGGACCCAAGCCAGGGACTCTGCAGTCTCTCAGCTGTCACCACATGGCCCAACCTCTACCCGGTGTCCATGAATATGAAATTTAGTTGCTAAATTTGATATCAATGAGTACAGTAAGAACTGTTTCTGAGTCTGAGGAAGAGGGGAAAACAAAGACATGTCTTAAAGGTTGACCCTTCAGGAGAGGCGAGATGTCCCTCGCCTCTCTCTAGAGTGAGGTGTTCTAGACCCTTCAGGGGAGGCGAGATGCCCCTAAGAGGTCCCTAGAGTGAGGTGTTCTAGACAGTGGACCCAGTGTGCAGCTGCGGAGGCTGTGGCTTAAGGCTCACAACAACCCAGATCACACAAAGGCAGGGTATCCGGCAGCAAGGCGTTGAGGCTGAGGAGCTCAGTGTTGGGCTGGCCTGACGGTAGAAGTTGGCCAACAGTTTGCCCTTAATTCTCCAAGCAGAAGAGAGGGTAGGCATTAAAAGTGCCTCAGCAAATGAATGGTGAACAGAGCTGTATCAGTTATGTATTGTAAAGAAGTAACTCGGCAGCTCCACTCTCGGCCTGGACAACCTGGGGCACAGGGTCTGAGACAGGATCGCTTGAGGTACTTATTTGATGTGCAGATGCCAGGGCCCTGCAATGTTCTGTTTCTTAGCTCTGGGCTGAGGTATGGGTTCAGTGTTTAAATAAACAATCCAGGGCATTTCTGTACACAAATGCTTATTAAATATGGGTTAGAAAGAAATCCAGCGAGAGGATGCATTGGTTATTCACTTCTGGGTAACAAACTACCCCCAAATTACTGACTTACTACAATACAATACAATACAACACAATACAATACAATACAATGACCTGTCTTGAAGTATATACAGATCGGGAGTTTGGGAGTGGCTTAAGTAAGCCATATCCTGACTTTTCAGTGAGGCTGCAGGCCCGTGTTGTAGTTGCTGAAAAGCGTGAGGGCAGCTGAGGATCTCCGAAGATGACTTGTGTGGGTTTGTCCTTAGCGTCTCTCCGGGTGGATTTCTCCAATGGATCACTTGATATGGACATTCTTATCTCTCGGCATGAATGTTTTAAGGGTATGGGAGACACAGAGGGTGAAGGAGATGGGATGGTGGAGGAAGAGACAGACAGACAAAGACAGAACTACAGACTTTTCTATTTCATTGTTGTTTTTAGATATGCTTTCTCTCTGAGTCCAGGCTCACATTGCAACTAAGTAACTTACACTGGCCTTGAACTGCTATCTTTCTATTTCAGCATCCCGAGTACTGGGATAACGAGTCTTTGTCTCTACCAGAAACTGACCTAGCAAATGGTATAGCATCACTTCCGCTATGTTCTGCTGGGCACACAGACTAATGCTGGTACAACTGGTACGTGCTTTGACTAGGATGGCAGGGGAGAGCCTAGAGTTGAGGTAAGTTGGAAGACAAAGTTCATATTCTTGGTATGAGATGATGGGAACATGAGATTATAGCATGTGGTATGGAATAATATGAGCTACTGTGTTCGAATGCTTACTGCATGTCAGGAACTCTTCTGAATACTTTGTGCAAAGGCCTCTATAGTCTCTGGCATGAAGCAAGCATTCGAACATGTTAGCCAGCCATGCTCTGAGCACTTTGCATGCATTTTCTCACTTAACTCTCATGACAGCCGAGTGGGCCAGGCGCTGCTCCTACAGAGTGGGAACCTGCAAGGCCGACAGGGGAGCACGGGAAAGCTGCAGTTAAGACTGGCTTGTCAGGACACGGAGACAGAAAGAGTGTGGAGGACGATAACCAATGATAGCATCAGTGTCCCATGAGACTTAGCTGGCTGATGGGTCAGTTCCTTAGCTTCCATCCAGGGGGCGTGAGGACACTGGCTGAGCAAGATGCAGCCACTGATGCAGAGGCAGACAGGCCATTCTAAAGCACCTCACATGCAATTCAGTGCAGCGGAGACGAAGCCCTGGGCCAGGGATCCTCACGCGCAATTCAGTGCAGCAGAGACTAAGCCCTGCGATAAGGTTTTCTGCAGCTGGGAAAGCCCAAGACAAACATGGGGCCAGCACATCAGGGCTTCTACACCGATCGGATAGGCCGTATAAAGTCACACAGGCTTCTCCTTTACAGCGCTTCTCTCAGGACCCACAGATCATTCCTCCCCCACAGCGCTGTTTTCCTCCGCACATCCCTGACATTCCTGTCCAAAGGAAGAGGCCTGTTCACCTTTCCACTCTACTAAGCTTTCCTCCGAGGTCTGCTCAAGCTGTGCCCTGCACCACCCTGGTCCTCTGCTCTTCTCCTGGGCCCCACCCCTCCTTTCTCCCCGTCCCCCCCCCCCCCCCGCTCAGGTTTCTCTCCCAGGCCGTCCCTGTCGGGCACAAGCCTTTCCCTTCCGTGATTGTGCCACACCTGGAGTAACACATGCCTCAGAGTTTGATAATTTACTTAATGTCAACAAAAGAGAAAGGGGAAAGCAAGCTGTGGAATTGCAGGCGCAGAAATGGAGAAAGCCAACTTGGCCTGTGGGACCCAAGTTCCCAGAAGGGCCTGCCCGCCTCCGCAGCCTCCACCTAGCAAGGGAGTTTGGAGAGGGCCAGGCTGTTGTAGCTCCTGGAACTCCTCAGAGATGGCGGGACAAACCATCCCAGACTGCAGACAGCGCTCTGGGTTAACCAAGGATTGATTGATTGCCTTACTGTTGCTGGACCGAGGCAGCCAAGCCTAGCCTAGTGGCCCTGGAGCGTCTCCAGCACCCGGGTGGGGCACGGAGGGAGCGCCCAGTCACTCACCCCGGCATGTGGGCGCGGCGGGGCGGGCCAGGGCTCTGAGCTGGACGCTGAGGTCCTTCTGGGCCCTAGTGTTTGCCCAGCCTGCCCTCTTGGCTGAGTCTCAGCCGGTCTCCCTTCTTTTCCCGGACAGCTGCCGAAGGCAATCTGAAGGTGTCTGGTGCTTAGGCCACCTTGCTCAGGGTCCTTAGCAGGTAGGTGACCCGGGTGAAAGAGCAGTAGGACCCGGGAGGTGGATCTCCAGCGTGAGGGGAATAGCACAGGGGTCAGGGTAGAAGGGTGGTGAGACCCTTGTCCCAGCGCGCGCGTCTGTCCCTCCGGTTCCTCCTCCACTGTGCGCAGGGCGGGCTCAGGTGCCCAGCGGAACCGGCGACCGCGGCGGCGGCCGGTATCCGGTGTCCTGTATAGGGTGTCCAGTGTCTGCAGCCTCGGCCGGGTGAGTGGTGGCCGGAGGATAGGGGAGCTTGTGATCAATGTGCCGCGTGCCTCCAGTGGGAGAATCGGAGGCGACTTGGTGTCTTTCTGGGAAAGTTGAGGGGTCCGGGCAGTGTGTGTGCACAGGCGGTGAGTGCTTACACCAGTCTGGGGCAGGTGCAATCAGCAGAAGCAACCTGCGAGGGTCCCGGCCCCAGTACCGGCAAATCAGCACCGACCCAGGGCCTCTCCTGACCGGGAAACCTTCCAGACAGAGAGCCCTGGAAACCGGTTTCAGCCCACGCAGAACTCCTTGAGCGCATTCGCGGTACAGGGACACCCTTGCGCTGGCGCCCCCACGTGGTACAGGGAGGGGCGGGTGGTGTCCCCTCCCTGCGGTTCTGGAGCAAGTCTCAACCCAGAACCCAGCTCCAGACAGCTGAGCCAATCCCGGACCGCTTCTGTCCCAGGGCTTCATGGGTCTTAGGTGTTTGTAGGTTTTCTCAAGGGTGTCTCTTTTCCCTATGGTCCCAGAGAAGCAGTATGACTGCTCCTTCCTCAGCTCTCCAACAAGCTTCACTTTGCCTCTGTAACAAAACGGTGTAATTATTTATAATTTTTAAATTTAATTAATACATGGAAGACATACTTAAGATTTGGCGCGAACAGACTTTTCTAGGTACTTGAGAGCATTTACAAAGCATCCAACGGCCCTCCCCACTTGCAATTGATTTTATTCTCAAAATCATCATAGATGCGAATAAGAAAAAAAACTGAATAAAAAAACCCAAAGCCTGAAGAAAGAGGTAGATGTTTAAAAGATAAATCGAATTTAAGCTCTTTCTTAACTTTAGGGATATACTTGGTGTACACACCACATTATTTTTATGATAGATTGGGCTACGATTTGGGCATTATTATTATTTATTAGGCTCCATATTAATTACAAAATACAGTTGTGTTATAGAAAAACAGAACGTGCAAAAGTCAGACCAGATCATCAGGTATCCTGGGATCTTATTCGAATTTAGAACTCTTTAGAAAGTTTTAGAGCAACAGGTGTGGGCTTGTTGCTTCTTATCTGTCTTTTTTAAGAACAGTGCCCAGGGGAAGACCAGCAAGTTGGTGGAGCTGTGCTTTGTGTTGCATCCCGAACAACTGCACTCAGAATGACACCCAAGCATGCCTGGGTGGCTCGGTGTCAGCAGCGAGTGTCCCCTCGGAGTGAAAGTAGGAAAACCCCTGGCTGGCTCATTTCCTCAATTTTATTTCCTGTACTTGTCTCAGTAACTTCAAGGTAGACGTTTATGTCACAGTGAACGAGTTACAAAGATTCCCAGACTAATTTTATGGATTGGGGAACTGAATCCAAAGATGTCAAGTGACCTCCCAACATCACAGGTCACTGGAGGCGAAGGTGGGAGTCCGAGCTGGTGTCCTTTGTGGTATCCCATGGGCACGCAGGCCTGGGGGTCTGCCATGGGAGAGCCTTGAGGAGAGTCCTCCGGAGTGAATCATCAGTCCAGTCTGGTGCCCATAGTTAGCACCCACAGACACTTGTTACCTGGGTTTCCTTCGTATTCATTCAGGGCACCAGGAACCCCTGGTCTGTTTTTCAAGAATGACTAAGCTGGCCCTGGTGTCAGGGTCTCTAATCTATGTTATGTGGGAGACAGAGGCAGTCATACAGAAGGCCAGAACCTGCCTAGTCTAGAGTGTATTCACAACTGGCCTGGGCAACTTAAGAGTCTGTCTCCAAACTCTTTTTGGAGACAAAACAAAAAGAAGGCTGAGCTGTAGTTCCGCAGCAGAGAAATTGCCTAGCATGTTTAACTCTCAGGACTACAAAACAAAACTGATTAATTAACCTCAGTGCCTGAAGTCCTTGTTTGATACACAAGGCAAAACAAAAAGTTTGTGTACCTCTTCACAGAGTGCCGCGCAGAAGGGGATACTGGGGAGACAAAGTATCTAACTGGCAAGCAGAGAACCAGAGGGAGGCCTGTGTGGCAGTCAGCTCCGCCTCCTTCCGGGGCAGGGTGTTTTCTTCTCTGGCCTCCTCTAAGCTGATCTACAGTTGATTGGGGTTGGGCTCCTGTGCTTGTTAAGGTATCTCCACGTTTGCAATTCTCGCCTCAGGGAGATTTTCTAGTCCTTGTTCTGAAATTCTAAAAGTGTAATCACACCCTGTTTCTGGGCTCAGGAGTAAGCTTGTAGCAGTCAGTCAATGCAGTGGATTCAGTAACTGCCATGGTTTCAAGCCTGTCCCCTGTCCTTATCCTCCTCTTCTGTAAAATGGGACTGGCCTCTTGGAGTCAGAGAGTCAGAAGTGAGAGACTTCTGCCAAGTATTTAAGTGAGTGCCTGCAACAGCTGGGTGCTGATTCTCTTCAGCGGACCCTGGGCCAGGGATGAGAGGAATGCACCCTTGGCTCTTGGAGACATTGATTCTCAGTTCTCTCTGATCCTCTAATACTGTCCACACGATTACAGAGGGGGTAGAACAGAGGCTCTAGAGCTCCCCTGTCGCTGGCATTCTGTCCGTGCTGTGGGCATCAGCCTCCGAGGTCACGGATCGCAGCTGTCTGTGAATGCTCCCGGAATGTCAAGGAGTCGTTTACTTTATTTACTTACTCCTTCACCTCAAGATCTTGGAGTCCCGCGTTCCAAAGAGCCAGATTCTTTCTGTGGGAGAAGAATCAACTCTTCCTTTAGTGTGGACTTGGTTTGGTCTATTCTGTGAGGGTGTGCTGGAGCCAAAATATCACAAGACATCGACTCTACATTGTATAACGCTGTGGAAACCATCTCAAAGCAGTATACAATCTTACCTAGGGGCCCCGACAAGGGGGAGGCCTGACGGAGTTGCAGTCATGGCGTCCGTTTAGTGCTGTTTAGCCTTCCTCTTAGTGCCGTGCTCCCTTGAATTCCAGTAGTTAAGAGCCGTGGGCGAGAATAGGCGGCAGGCAGGAACAGCACATGGAGCTTCAAGGCCCTGTTGTGCAAGGAATACTTAGAGAGTCTAAATGCTCTCGACGTACTGGGCACCTGACCACTGAGCAAGCTTCTCTCAAAGGACTGCGGATTTCTTTCTAATGATAAAAGTGCAAGAGTTCGGGGCCTGGAGATGGGTGGGCAGGATCCCACATGCAGTGGTATCTAATCCCATTGCCCCTCTGCTGGGATGAAAGGTGGAATCAGGAGACTCCCCAGAACTTTCCAGTCACCTAGCATGGTTGGCCTACTAAGTGCTAAACAAGAAAAAGAGAAATCTTGTCTCAGACAAGGTGGAGGGCCCAAGATTGTCCCCTGTGGCATACATAGGTGTCCATATGTGCATTTATAATACATGCATATAATGGACAGAGAGTATGAAGGTTTGGCATCAGAAAACATTAAATCACATAAAACTAAGTAAAATAGACAGAGCTAGAGGAAGCGCCACCTGTGGTGCTGCTTTCGGGACACCAGGCTTGCCCGAGTCCACAGACCCTCTCTGAAGGAACTGCCTGATAAACTTACAAATCAAAGACAGAGGCCAGTGACCTCTGCTCCCCCCAAGTATCTGGCCTGAAACTTCTATGTGGCTAAATTATGTTCCTGGAAAGAGCTGGTAATATTCCAGAATGTTCATGCATGTTCTCTTTTGTGCTTGCATTGCTCTCCTGGCTCTGTGGGGCTGTCTGGAAATGTCTTTTGTGAAGGAGAAAGCACACAGTTGTGTCTATGCAGGGCTGGAGAGACGGGGAAGGAGGAGAACAGGCTTTCGTTTTATTCCTTCTTTTGACTCCACTGAGAATGTCTCTGTTCCTCTAAAAATACCTCAAATGTGATATTTTCTTTTGAAATTTGGGGAGGGTATTTTAATTTCCTTTTGTGACCTTTGGTTATTGTTGTTGTTGCTGGTTCTTTTCAGCCATGCCGTTGGCAGTTGGGAGGCCCTGATGTGTTTTGGGAGGAGGCCACTGTTAAATTTGTTCTCCTGAGATCAGCGTGTTCAAAGTTAGGGTTGTCCTGATAAACTATCTATTGTGAAATAGAGGTCATGCAAACTCCTAGCCAAACATTACCTTGGCTTTTTCTCTTCTTTCTTTTTGAAATAAAAAACTATATTGTATTTCCTCTTGGCTTTCTTTTCTAGCCTGCGTCCATCTAGAATCCGTCCGTTTCACTGACTGATTTGGGCTGTTACTCTTTGCAGGTTTCTCCACTGAACAGCATTGAGGAAGGGAACCTCTCTCTGCTGAGTTCCTGTCCCACTGGGTCGCTACTGCCAGGTGTTCCAAGCTCTGGGGAGGTCTGTGGAGGTGCCCAAGTGACAGCCTGCTGGTGGCATACGTCATTTCCAGAAGCTTCTGCTGCAGGTGGAGACGTTTTTGTGATCAGCAAGCATGCTGAAACAGATACTGGCAGATATGTTCATAGACCCTGACCTGCTGGCAGAGCTCAGTGAAGAGCAGAAGCAGATCTTGTTTTACAAGATGAGGGAGGAACAGATCCGACGATGGAAAGAAAGAGAAGCAGCCATGGAAAGAAAAGAGTCCTTGCCAGTGAAATCCAGACCAAAGAAAGGTAAATCTAGCCACCTCTGCTGCTGCGAGTGTGGTAACAGAAGGCCCTGCCCCCTTGCTGTGACGGCTCGTATCTCTCACTAGCTGGCCAGGTATGAGCTGCGACTTTGTGGCTCCATCCTATGCTACTCAACTCCTAAGTCAGGTTGTTAGCTGGAAGCCTGCATCGGCTCACACATAAACACAGAAAACTTACCGTGCAATGTATGTGTTTAAGTCTTTTATCTAAAATGAGATGATCCTTAAGGTGTCATGAAGTCGGTGCTGAGGAATGGGGTGTAACTCAGTGACAGAGCACTTGCCTAACATGAGGCTCTCGTGCCCATCCCAGCACCTCCAAAAGACAAAAAGCCACTCTCAGTCTTGACTTGTGGTGCATTGAGGAAGGACTTTATCCCCCTTAGCACTTTGCCATCACAATGTAAAGTACGTTTGCAGCCATTACACAGCAAGGGTGACTATGTGCCATCAACCTCAGGTACTTAAAGTGACCATTTTAAAGAAATGCCTGTTAAAATGCAAGGAGCTTGCTTAAAGAAAGCAAATGGCCATCGTGCGTATGTTTGGTGTGGAATAATTCTCAAAGGATCTTCTTCCTGGCTGAACGGATCCCTAGGAGTTTGAAAGGGTTCTTTTGAGCAGGAAAAAAATGTCCATTTTCTCTAGACAACAAGTGCTTCTCATATTTAATTTTGCCCAGTCTTTGGAGCTGAAGCCACAGGTGGTCCAAAGCCGCATCGTGGTGCCCAGTGACTGCCCAAGGGCACTGTCTGTGCTATGGACTTGCTAAACCTGTAAGCATCATGTTTGGCCTCCCAGGCTTGCCTTCACCTGTCTGGCATATGCATCCTCTCTGTCCCAAGCCGTGTCTGCCTCCAGCTCGTCCTGGCCTACATGCTATTCCTGTTCACAGTTCACAGCCCAGCCATGGCTTTGGAGGCTGCCCTTGTTATTGTATCTGCCTTATCCCCATTCCTTTCTACCATTGTCCTCCTTGCATCGAAAGTTCTGTCCTCTATAAAAGCACAAACCACAATGGCATTCTGCTCCCTTTCTAGACTCTCAAGGTTAATGCCGGAATGGCCGAGAAAATAATCAGCATCAGGCATTTAACCGACAATAGACCAGGTACTTTCAGAAGCCTCACCAGACACTGTCTTTCATAAAGCAGGTGTGTTTGCTTTATGAAAACACACATAAAGCAGGTGTGTGTTTGCTAAGTGCTAGCCAGGAGGTCTGAGCTCTGTAGCGAGGAGCCTCGCCTGGCTGCACCACTACTCCAATTTGAGGTCTGGTGGATTTGTAATGATGATCCCGGTGGTATAGTTGTGTAATGGATGTTTCCTGGGAGCCTGAGGAAGGTGGTCTGCCTAGCGTGAATTCAGGAGCAGCCTAGAGACCTTTGTGAGACCCTGCCTCAGATAAAAAGTAAAACGTGGGCTGGGCGATGGCCCACTGACTGAAGTGTTTGCTGTACACACACGAGGGCTGGAGTTCAGATCTCCAGAATCTGAGTGGTCTTGTCAGCCCGTCTGCAATTTCAGCCTTGAAAGACAAAGGCAGGGGACCCCTCGGGGTAACCTGGCTAGCTAGACAAACTGCATTGGCAAACTCTGGGTTTCACCGAGTCCCTGTCTCTCTGAATAAGGTAGAAGAGACATTTAAGGTGATTCCTGACCTCAACCTTGGGACATGGACATACATGCATACATGTTCAAGAGAATCTACATGCATAGACACACACATGTAAAATGCATGCATACAGACATACAGTACACACACGTACTTGACCATGGGAAAATGCTTAAAAATGGAAATGTCTGGGGCTGGGAATGTAGCCCAGAGTGGCTTCCTAGCGTGAGAAGAAACGGAGTTTATTTCCAGTGCTTAGGGGAAGAGGGGAAAAATTAACAGACTTGAGAAGCAGGAAAGATTTTGGGCTATCTTGGGTTGGATGCGTTATTTGAGTTAATTTCACCAGATTTTAGGTGTCAGAATGTTAGAACAGTCGTCACTATGGATGTGGCGCCCATTTGGACGCAGGAACCCCAGCCAGGGCTTCCTGCTGCTGTCTCATACAGACTGGCAGCTGAGTGCCTCGGTACGGATCTCACTAAACAGTGACAGGCAGGCCTGCAGCGTGAAGCACTCTTCACATTTTATGGAAGAGGAAAGTGAAGCTCAATCATTAATTAACTTGCCTTGGGCAAACAGCTGGTAAAGGACCGCTGGACTAGACCCTGGCTTCTGTCTCCCCGAACGGGTCCTGTGAGCAAGCGTGGTACAGGGGACATCGGAGCAGTTACTAAAGATGCCTCGCAAGCATCTAAAGCAGAAGGTAGCGCTTTTCCTGTGTGCTTTGTCACAGAGCCACAAGCAGAAGACGTGGTTCCCCTGCACTGTTTATCATTGATTCTTAATGAAGCAGAGGCTAGGAAGCCAAAGCCCAGGTGAGGATCTGGTGACTTGGATGGTGTGTCTCCATCTATCCTTGAGATAAATGTGCCAGAGATACACATTTGCTTTGAATGAGAATGACTGACATGGGCTCGTATATTTGAATGTTTAGACACCAGGGAATATAACTGTTTGAAAGGATTTCCTGTTCAATACAGAGGCTATACCATAAAAGACCTGTGGTGCCACCCGCCCCCTTATCTGTCTGTGGATCACACTGTAGCCCTCGGCTACTGCTCCAGCACCGTGCATGTTGCCATGAGCCCCACCATGACAATGGACTACCCTTCGGAAACCATAAGCGAGACCCCAATTAAATAAATTCTTTTGGAAGAGTTGCCTTGGTCATGGTGTCTCTTTACAGTTATAGGACAATGAGCAAGGCTTGGATTCATCTCCATGTGCTGGACTCTTATTGTTAGCATGGGGGCATGTTCCCTTAGCTAGTCCTCTATTTCCACAGAGCAGAGCTGGAATGCGGCGGGGTCTCTGGAAATGTTAGCTAGACAAATAGCTGATTCCTTTTCCCTCTATATGGCATGCGCAAACCCATATGGCCCAGAGACTTTTCAGCAAGCTTTGGTCTGCTTGTCATCTTCACGTGAGAGTTTCTGTCCAGATGTCCCTGCAAGCTGGCCACAAAGAAAACTCTTTCCAAGCTTTCCTATAATTCCTCATAACCTCTGGTCCTGTCTGTCAGTCTGTCATAATGACTCTGCTCTCTTCCTAGTCACTAAAGCCAGATGGCAGGGAGACATTGTGGCTCCTGTCTGACCTTCCCTATCCTCAGTCACTAAATCTCACAGATTTTACTTTGCCTTTTCTGTTCTTTGGAGATTTCCCCTCCCAGGGTCTTAGTCTGCTGTTAAAATGTGGCGAGCTCATGCTTTACGTTGAAACTGTATCATTTCATTCTTGTGGGAACTTGGTGACGTCAGTGTTCTCCCCTTTATTCTTGCAAATAAAGAAACAAAAAGAAAGATGCAATTCCTATGAATCAGAGTTGGAGTCAGCATTGAATTCGAGTCCAGTTAAATCCCCAGTCTTTTCTGAGAGGTTGACCAGAGCTCTTGCCTCAGCATCTCGGCTGCCTACCTTTGAGCTCCCTGGTATCGCATGCCTTCCAGGCGATCACTGCATTTCCCACCCCTCCTGCTGCCCTTAGGTCCCACACTCTCCAGTCTTGATTTATCACGTCTGTCTCCTTTCTCTATTGGAAATCTCACTCAGCCATCTGCCAGTCACTTCTGGGACTGTGGTGTCCAACATGTCACCCAGCTTTCTCTCTGTCTTTGCTCTAGAAAATAGGCATATAATTTTATTAAGTTAAAAATGACTTTGGAGTTTGTAACTCCAGCACATTTAGCAGGATTAGAAATTATAGGAGAAAAAAACCAGTAATTTGAGGAAGACTTGATAGAAATTTGCCTTGGCCTTGGTTAAAATGAACACAGAGACCGATCTGCCCGTTCATACCCATATCTCACCCTATGAGATGAGAAAGAACACTGTATTAACCTTAATGTAGGTCAGCCCAGCTCACCTGTTAGCTGCTGGCTCCCTTTCCATACTCAGTATTTCGGTTTGGATCACACATTAGAAATATTCTTTAAGCATAGGCTTTGCCATCACAGATCTGTTTTGAATCCCCCTCTTAGTATGGCTGTATCATGTTGAAGTTCCTTCTCTAAGCTGCCATGGCCTCATAATAAAAGATAGCTAGGAATGGCCCATGGCTGTCTGTAAAGATGAGTATGGTGTAGAAATCCAGTCAGAAGGGACACGGACCGTCATATGAGGACTCAGAGGTTCCTGGCAGCTGACGTTCGTCATTGGGTTTCTGCTTGAGCTGAGGGTTCTTAGAAGGGCGGTGGAAGATACTCCAGCGACCTCTGGGGTGGCAGAGTGCAGAAAAATCTTAGGATTGTTGACTATCTGACTCCCATTGTAGGAGCCTTACTTTTGGCAGTCACACACACACCAGTACTGAATTCTTCCAATGTGATGTAGTTTATTATCTTGCTGACATGCTTTCGTGGAGCCCAATGGACTCGTTATAAAGAAGGGTTAGGAGTAGCCTAGGGTTATATATGGTGATTAGTAGAACCCAGGAAGGGTTTACTGTAACGTGTCCTTGGCTTGTCATAGGAAGCTTGTATTCCGCTGGACCCATTGCGTAGGAAACAGCAAACACAGCAACGCTATCCTGTGATCAGGACACAAGACTGGAGTAGTCTGGCCGCTTCCCTGACAAAGAGACGTAACACTCCATTTGTATATGACATTTCCTAGCACTGCCTCCATAGAGGGTTGGCATGTGGCTCCGAGTAGGGAAAACCTCTTCATCCAGAGGAAACACTTCTCTGAAGAGCGAGGTGTGACTACAAGTCTCTGCTTGGGAGTTACTTATGATGCAGTCCCCGAACAAGATGGACCCACTTTTCTAGAAAAGCTGGTTTGAGAATAATTTGGTAAGCACCCCTGAGAAAACAATCATAAAAAGACCTGTGGTTGTACAGTCACAGTTAAAAGACTGGAGAAACAAAAGACCTTGTAATTATGTGGAAGTGTTATACAAACTCCCTCCCTCCACGTGCAGATTTAAGTGTACACATAATTTCCAGGCGAGCTGGACAGAAAATCCAGAATGGCGGGGTGGTGTTAGACTCTAAAAGAGATATTGCATATGCTGCATTCGGAAGTCCTCAGTTTATACCTTTCCTGTAAAGGGGTGTGTTAGGAGTCACATGACTCTGCGCGCCTAGTCTCGGCTTTTCCCTTTCCTCCTCCTCTTTTAGTTCCAAGGTCCCACATATCCCAGACTCAATGAAGTTCAGTTTCCTAAGTAGCCAAGGTTAGTGCTGAACCGACCTTCCTGCCTCCACCTCCCAAGTGCTGGGCGCACAGGTGTGAACCACCACACCTGATTTATGGCTGTGCTTGAAACCGAGCCCAGAGTCTCAGTCGTGCAGATTAGCACCCTTCCAGCTGAGCCACATCCCAGCCAAGGCTTTCCTTTGACCTACCTCTGCAGCCTTTCTCACCGTCATTTCCCCTTTGACCTTTCCTGGCATCGCGGACACCTCCCAGCAGCCCAGAGACAGCCCCGCCTGTTTCCTCAGTCTGAGGAGCTCTCTCAAGCAGCTTTGCTCTCTCTGTCCCCGAGGTCCTTAGAGTAGTGCCAGGATGTACAGATTTTCTGGAAATGCTTGCTGAGCAAACAGCTGAATCCTCTTTGCTCGTCACCAATGGACTCTAGAACACATTCCTGCTGCCTGAGCCGGTTCTCACCATTCCCAGCCACCTACCTCCTCCTGGATTCCCGGCATTCCTGCTCCCTCAGCATCACTTAGTATCGCCCTTCTCTTCCCTCTCATCTGCTTGGCTGTGCGTTTTCCCATCTATCTGCTACCTTACTCAGTTATTTGGGGAATCAGAATTCTTCACTTGCATAAATTTATAAACACTTTGGATTCTTTTCCTCTGCCCCTGAAGGAAGCTCCTGCATCTCCAAGGTTCTCTTCAAAGTTCCCTTCTCTCTGTGAGTCAGGCTAGTCCAGTGATTTCAAAGATAATATGGGTACGGTAATTTCCAAGGTCACCTGGCGAGTTTCAACCTCATTGACGCTCTCTCTGTACCAAGTCGGGGAATTCTGGAGACGTGGTTCCTTTGTGGCCCTTTCCAGCTTCCTGAGCTCTTGTTCACTCTTTGTCAAACTCTCCACTGCTCACCTGCAGTTCTAGGCTTTGTCCGTCCCACCCTAGGGCAGGACTTTGTTCCCCAGAGTCACCACTGCCACCCGTGACCTGCAGACTCTATGGAAACCATTTTGGGGATGTTCATATGGTGTCCCAGCTAAACAACGCTCTCTGGGCTCACAGCCTTTGCTTCTTGAGGTTCGCTACCACTGTCGGTTCTAGCTGTCGGCCTCCTGTTGTTAATAACAACGGAGAGTTACCTAAGTGAAGGGTGAGAGATGGGCATAATAAAATATTGCAGCTGGCCTCGGGAGAGTGTAATAGAGATAATTTTATGAGGCATAACAACTTTCTGGAGTTAATGAAACATTGGCGTGTCCTGAAACTGCAAGACCAGCGGGGGTTGGCACCTGGGCCTATTGCCAGGAGAGCACTCAGGGTGCCATTTCCCCTTCTTCCCAGGATCCCCCGTCACTTGTGTCTCTGCCTGTGAAAACAGAGTCAAGGCATTTCCTTCTGGCCTTTAGGTCCTGTGGTAAAGATTGTACAAATCTGCCCCACTCTCCTCAACCGTTCTTAGCACTCCTAAGGCTGCGGGATGAGATCATTTTTCTGGGGAAGAGTAGAAAGCAGAGATCAAGTTTGGGAACCCGCTTTTGTAATGCGACCAGAGACAGCACTCTGAAGTGGGCCGATAGCACATGAACGCTTGAACTGAAAGCTTCCTCTGCTTAGCAGAAGCCCGGAGGCAAGCCCAGTGTGGATGTCTAAGGAATACAGCATTGGTCAGCGTCTGTGGCATCCTCTTCAGACTCTCAGCACCCGGGGCTGGTCTGAAGGCATTGGCTAGACCTAACTGTGGACCACAATGACCTGAGCAGATCTCGTATCCATCCCCTTACTTTAGGGACTGTATTTCTTGGCCTCTCCTAATCACACATTACATTTCCCAGGGCTCAGGGCCCAAGCTCCCATTTGGCTCCATTTCTGGAGCTCAGAAACTACATGTAACACAACCCCAGGTACCAATTGTACACAAGGGTTATTTAAGTCACCAGGTGTCATACTATCCAGGTCGTATTATCTTCTCACATGCTGGTGTGAATCTCCAGGCAGCCCTATAAGTAAATAATAGGCTGGCTGGTGATAGCGGGTAACCTCTGCTGAACTCCTATTATTCTTGGCATGCCCTTTATTCACAGCCATCATTGTAATGGATGTTGGTGTTCCCATTTTACAGATGAGGAAATTGGGTCTTAAAGATATGAATGTTCCTACATCACATAGCTGGCAGGTAGCAAGGCTAATGTTTGAATCAAACCATTCTAATTCTAAAACGCTTGTTTTAAGCGCTGTGACGGTAATGCAAATGCCAAATGCTTGAGCAAACGCTCGGCTCTGGGTAACTCCTGATGCCAGGTCACTTTCTTACCCTCAAGGATAATGAACACCGTGAATGAGGTCGTTCTCTCTCAGCATCTGGCAGGTGGAAGCACCAGGCCCATCATATTGGTAAAGAAGCCGTCACAGCCGCTAGAGTCCCTTGCTCCTGAGCAGGTTGGAAGTGTCTTGTTTCACCGCTCCCAACCCAAGATTGGAAGATACTAAAGTGATCAGTACACATAATAGCATACCATACAATAAATAGTTTGTTCAACCCAAATTTTGTTTCGTTTGCAGAGAATGACAAGTCTGTCCATTGGAAGCTGGGCGCTGATAAGAAGGTGTGGGTTTGGGTGATGGGCGAACACCATCTTGACAAGCCCTATGACGTACTCTGCGATGAGATCCTGGCTGAGAGGGCCCGTCTAAGAGCAGCACAGGACCCAGAGCTCAGGTAGGCGAGCTCACCCCAGCCGCACCCCAGCCGGAGACTGGCTGCACACTAAAGGGCAGTGTGGATCACTTACTTCTCTTCCCCGCCGTGTCAGAATACCTGACAAAAGCCACTCACGGAAGTGAAGGTTTCTTTGTCTCAAAGTTAAAAAGACCTAGAGTCCATCGTGGCTGGGAAGGCACAGTGACAGAAATCTGGTCACATTACACTTGCGGTCAGAGGGCAGGGTGAGCAGAAAATGGGGCTGGAGTATAAAACATCAAGACTGGCCTGAATGATGCACTCCCTCCAGTGAGACTCCACCTCGTAAAGGTTCTGCAATGTTCCCACAGAGCGCCATCACCTAGAACCAAGTATCCAGCCTCGTGAGCATATGGGGCTCTTCACAGTCAGTCAACACGCTGTAGTGACACCTCTTGTTCACAGCATGTGGTAGGAGAGCACAGTGGCACTTGAGGGTCAGAAGAATCACTTCAGATCTTCCCAGAGAGTTCACTTGAGCTCTCAGCGGTACCGCTCTGGCCTGCAGTGCTGCCCAACACCTGCTTCTGCGGCTCTCACAGACATCCCAAGGCTGATTTGCATGAGCGTGCTGGCTCCCCCTGCTCCACCTCTGCTCCGTTAGGTTAGCATCTTTCTGGAGCAGCAGCAAAGGATGCAGCCAAGTGTCAGGTGTGTTTGTGAGAACTGAACCAGCTGTGGGCAGCTGGATGGCAGAGTCTGTGCTATGCCAGGCACCAGGAATGCAGAGGGAGTCAGAAGAATTCATTCCAGCCTAGGAGGGAAACAAGGCAAAATGCACAACCAGCTGTTGCAATGCAGGCTGTGCCCAGAGGGAGGCTTGGCTAAGGTATAAACAGAATCCCCCTGTTCCAGGTGGGAGCCCAGCATTCTGCAGCATAGAAGAGGGGAAATCTGAATTGAGCCTTGGAGAAGAGTTGGGTATCCAGCTATAGAAGGTTAGGAGAGAAATTAGAGAATTTAGTCAGGATTTTGAACAGCTCTGTGTGGAGTGGTGAAAGCTTCTGAGTGCTTGGGGTACACCATATAAACCCCTACAGATGGGGTGATGCTTTAAGATACTTTGAAGGCTGGATGTAGGAGTCTGAACCTCTTCTAGGGACAGTGATAGTTTCATGGGAAATTGACATGGTCAACTGGACACGTGAGTGACTTGGAACAGAGGCAGGTGATTATCACCTCTGCTGGGTACCCTCTCTAGCTCTGGGCAGCCCCACTCTGAGCTGGTGAGCTGAACCGATGTGGGGACCCAACTTCAGTACCCAAAGACTAATAGTGTCTCACTCCAGTTCTCATGAGGTCATAAGTATAAATGGTCATATAAAACAGCAATGCAGGGGATAGTCTTTGAATAGCCATAAGAAGGCAGCATGTACTGGCAGCCTAGCTGAGCCAGGAGCTGGGTAGCCCTGGGTTCAAATCCTGACAAAACCATTATGCAGTCTTTGGTAAATTATAGTATTTCTCCGAACCTTTTATTGCAATGCAAGGATAGCCTCAGATGGTGTTATGAAGATTTAGGTAATGTTTTTAAAGTTCTGGTCAAAGACCTACCAGATGATAAGCATTACAATCAGCAAGCTGCTGCTGTTTTCTGCTGGGTTGGATTGTAGACATCTGCTTTGGAAGGCCTGTTCCTGCGGAAGGATGCTTTGATCATTTCCCCTTTGTTTCTCAGCAGGAAAGCTCAGTCTGCAGAAATCCCCAATAGCTCGAGAACAAAGTCACAGAACTGTGTTCAGCCAGAACTCCAGAAGCTGGAACCTCAGAATGTCACCAGGAAGACAACTGCAGAGGAGACATCAGGACAAGGACCCAGAGCAATACCAACCAAGGGTGAAGACAGAGCCCACGTGAGTCTTACCACTGTGCAAAATCCCACAGACAGGGAGGCAAAGGCAAGCGGCCACTGACACAATGAGCATGCTCTGGAGCTCAGATACCCTCAGCCTTTAAGGTCCTGCCATTCACCTTATATTGGGGCAGGAGTTAGAGACTTTTTTACCTTGTACTTCGTGAGTATAGTTAAGCATTACCTTTTTCCCAATGGGGCCGGTACTAAGAAGAAACTCTAGTAAAGTTGGACATTTTAATACATTTTCAATTTTCCACCACGTCTATAGCATGGTTTTGTTTGTTTGTTTTTTGGTTTTGTTGTTGTTGTTTTTCTCAGTAGAAGTCACATAGGTATGGTTTGTGGGCCAAACAATCCTTGTCATGACTACACACACATGAGCAAGTATTGTTGTGGTCTAGTAAGACTTTATTCCCTGACACCTCAAGGGCAGGACTTAGCCCATTCCCAAGTTAGATTGCATTCTGTTGAGTCTTCCTTTGCTTAATGAACAGGCTCTAAACATGAGCATCCTTTTGGTTTCATGAATTCTGCATGGGATGTCGAATTTTATGCTAAGAACTGGTGTGAATTCTTTTATGAACCAGGTTCTTTAGAAAACTCAAATATAATTTGCTTCTGGGATTATAGTTTGGAAGAACAATAAACTGCATCACAAAGTACAGTATTCTGCCAGAAATTTAATTACACTGTGAATTAACAGAGGATTTGCTGTTATTTGACTTACATTGACATCCACATGGGTTGTACGTGACGAGGGCAGCTATCTGAAGCTCACTTAGAGGCTGACCCTCGGGGATATGGTTATCTCTGTTCTGCCTACTTCTGAGTCTGATAATATTCTAATCATTAACGTGTCTCTAGGGTTATTATGTGGCAAAGGCAGAGCAGGATGCAGAGTGTCCCTTTTGGCACTCACAACGCTGTGAGCTAGCTACCGCTTCTCTTTGTCCATTTTACTTGTTTTTTATGTACTCTGTGCGCATGTGAGCACAGGTATATGTGCATGTGTGTGAAGGCCAGAAGACACTCTTTGGTGTCATTGCGAAGAAAGCCATTTACAGCATGTTAGATAGTCTCTCATTAGCTTGAAACTTATCAGTCAGACTAGACTGGGCCAGTGAGCAAGGCATTTTCCTGCTTCTGCTTCCGCAGTGCTGGGATTGCAAGCATGCATCTCCCAACTTCTCTATGGGTTCTGAGGATTGAATTTAAATTCTCACACTTGTAGAGGAAGTGCTTTACTGACTGAGTCTTCCTAAAATGTTCATCTTTGTTTGTCTTACAAGTGAGGAGTCTGAGGGTAGCCTTGGTTAAGCAGCATGCTGAATGTCTGGTTCATGCCTAGGTCTTCATGGTTCCTAAGTTACTTTTTAATTGTCAGTTTTTTTCAGAGATTTATTTATTTGTATTTATTTTACGTGTATGAGTGTCTGTGTTTATGTATAGGCATCATGTATATACGTTGCCTAACGAGGCCAGAAGAGGTTGTTTTATCCCCTGGAGCTAGAGTTACCTTGTGAGCTGCCTTGAGGGTGCTGAGAACCAAGATCGGGTCCCCTGGAAGAGCAGCCAGTGCTCCTAACTGCCAAGCTGGTTTTCTGACCCACCTCAACTGTTGACTCCTATTAGTGACTGTGTCCTTACTGTGTAGACTAGGAAGAAACACCACAAAGACAAGACTTGTAGTCTTTAGTAAAAAGTTCTAAAGTTTTGCTTTTGAGACCTCGCTGAGGTTTTCCCTCATCTTCTCAATCAAACTTTCTCATACTCGGTGTGCCCTCAGCATGCCTTACACTAAACTCCTCCAAGCCACTCTGTTTCTAAGACCCCTAAAATGAAGAACAGTAACAACAACCAGAGCCTCAAGAAACACCATTTATATGTGATAAGGCATGCATGCTTATATCTGTGCTGGAATTACATTGTCAGAGTAATTACACTTTTCAAAACTAGGATAAAAGGTTAAAACAGACAGTAAACATCTACCATGATTAGTCTTGATCAAACGTGTCATAAGCTTCCCAGCATGCATGGCGTGGTGCCTTCTTGCTCCTTTGTCTGCTGGAGTTTTAGTGGAAAGTGATGAGGAGGGGGAAGGGAAAGGGAAGCATTTAAATTCGAGAAATATGGATGTTGATGAAAGTTTTTTCTTTTTCTCTTTCTGCTTTTGCCATGTCGGGAGTGGGGGTCCTATCAAGTCCCGTTATAATGTTTGCTGAAGTTCCCTTTAGTAGTGGGGTGCTCAGAGAGGCTGTGATCTTTCCATTTGGACAGCAAGCTCCTGTATCATACGTAGAATCCACTAATGGCATGTTTATATTTTGCTTGTAAACCTTGCCAGTTTAAACTACTGCATCTGTCATGGTTTGGTATGGCAGAGGGAGACCAGTAATATCTAGGAGAGTTCTGGGGATGGGTAAAAGATAAAATGCATACAGATATACCAAGTTAGTCCCTAACACCTGCTGGGTTGATTCCCTCTCCTTCTCTTTCCCAATAATAGTTTTAACTCAGACAACAAGGTTAGTATCCCAAGCCTGATTTAATTACTAATTTCTTTAAGGAAAAAAAATCAAGATAACAAAGTTGAAGTAAAAATAGCCACTGCCACCAGGAACTTTACCGATGGGGAGGTGTGGAGAGGTTTAGCTAATGTTTAATGTTGAATGGTAATAAGTGCTCTGAGGGAAATTACGGCTTTCCACACATCCCCATTACTTCAGGGTTTGGGCCAGGACATCCTGAATGACCTTTATGAGACCTTGAGTGTAAGATGGTAACAGAGGACTCGTGGGGCAACAGTCCAGCCAGCGGCAAAATGGAGAAAGATTTGTGGGGATCAAGAAGAGGGGGAAGTGTGAATGTCTTGTCACACTGGGAGTAGGCAAGGAAGGGGGATGTCAGTGTTTTACTCCGTTTTCAGGGAATAATTGGAAATCATACATGAGTTTTGAACAACTTTGTATTTTGAAGAGAATCCATCAGTCTTGTATTCCATAAGTTCAGGGACAGGTAGCACAGCCAAGCCTTCCTGTCTAAGGAGTGGGAAGCCAGCAGCATCAGCAGGGGCTTCTGGAAGAGGAGATGGGGTTTGGGCTCAGCGGTAGATGGGGGAGAAGCTCATCTTATTCAGAAGCACGCGGTTTGCCTTATAGCGTGTTCTCAGGCTGTCATTTCCTTTCCCATTCATTTCATAACTTCTCCTGACATGTAAACAAGGGAGTTACAAGAACAAGAATTCCTTTTATAAGTGAAGAAGTTGATGGTCAAAGGTATGAGTCCAAATCACAGATCTGAAAGGCCTTGTCTTGCATATCTACCTCAGTCCCCACTCCAAATTTTGGTTTGTCTTTAGACATGACAGAAACATTTGTCCCCATTCCTCAGACCTTTTTCCTAAGATGGGAACTCCTATGGAATATGGAAGGAAGCTAGAGTAAGGAGAGTCATCCTATATGTTTCTAAAATAAAATCTGTTCAAGTTTTAGTTGCAGTTTTTTCTAACGCTGGAATGAAAAGATATTGTCTAAAATTCCATTGTCTTACCAGGCCTAAAAGCTGTTATGGAGAAAAAGTATCTCCAAATACGTGTGTGTGTGTGTGTGTGTGTGTGTGTGTGTGTGTGTGTGTAAGTATGTGTAATGTTCATGGTATATGCGTGTGTGTGTGTGTAAGTGTGTGTAATGTTCATGGTATATGCACGTGTGTGTGTGTTTGTGTGTGTGTGTGTGTGTGTGTGCCCATGCTATGCCAGGCATGCTGCTCAATCATTCTCTATCCTATCCCTTATGAGACTCACACGCATGTTGTTTGTCCATGGCCGGGCTCTAGCCTTTTGCTTCTCACTCCCTGTGAGCTTTGCGTGGTTGTTCAGCGTGAGGGCGAGAAATTAAAGGGCCTGTGGTTGAGTTTGTTCCTGGGACTGTTAGGGTGAATCCCATAAACTTTTGGGGGCCTCTGGTTTTCTATCTATAAAGATAGGGAAGTAATAGAATATGCATGTCATGAAAACAGAAGGAGAAAAGGGACAGCAAGAGAGGACAAGGGGACAGGAGAGAGTAGTAGAGTGGAGAATGAGCGAAGAGAGGACAAGGGGACAGGAGAGAGTAGTAACGTGAAGAATGAGCGAAAGACGTGAAGGTTTTCTCGAGACATGAAAATGCCATGGTGACCCTATTTCTATACCCGTGGATTCAAAGACTTAATTCAAATGCCTGTGCTGTTTATCTCCTGGGCTTGGGTACACATCATATGCGGGAATGCATTTCTTTAGAAGTCCCAGTGAGCAGGAGGGTTGTTTTCAGTAGGAACACTGGAAGGCTGGCCCGGGCCGGCTGCCCATGTCCTCCCTGACTCCATGCTTCGCTGCCCTGTACTCTGGGCCTGGTTTCCATGACTTCACTCCTTCCTTGAACGACTGTTCCATGGTTCAGCACATGTAATGGCGAGTCTCGGAGAGCCTACAGAGGAGGCATAAACAAGATCTCCCTCTTCCAGAGTTTAATTCTAGTGGGGAGAAGGGGAGCAGCTAGAAGCCAAAAACGAGGCAGGGTTTGATGAGGTTTCAGGAGGGAGTGGGCACTGGTTTGGTGGGATAATGGGAGAGGATGGTCTGCTGGAAGGGCAGGTGGGTGAGGGAGAGGTTTGGGAAGAACAGTCTGACTGGGATCGGGCACGTAGGCTAAGACCCAGGGGCAGTGATGCCAAGAATTTCCTCTCTGCAGGTGGAAGCAGGCTTGGCTTGGGGGTTGGTTTCATTCCTGTAAAAACAATAGCAATACACTTAGTTCACTAAAATAGTTCCGACAGAAACAGGCTGGGAGCCTGGGGTGGCGTGTTTAAGGTATGCCAGGCTGAAATTGTGCCATGTGAGCTGCTTCCTGGTGGTTCTGGAGAAGGACCTACTCTTGTTAGGACTCTTGTCCAAAGGGGCCGTCTAAATGCCATGTTCAGTCTCTGCCAACCAGGGTACATGAGCTGATGGTATTGGTTAGG